GAAAAATTATGCTTTTCGGTTGATAGTTGAGGTATTTCCCGCGGGTATTGATCATTATCCAAATAGAGAGACTGGTCTGGTCCAAGAAATTATGTTTTGCTCAACGACATTTTCCCACAGCCTGATGCACCAAAAATCTCTGCTCCATGTCAATAAAAGCTGCTCCGGGTGAGGTTAGAGCTCACAGGCTCGGCATTTCACGCGCCTCTATACCGTCATAGAAGGACCGGGCGCTCACCGATTGTGTCTTTTATTCCTTGTGACACGTGCTACAGAAATGCGGCAAAATATCAAACATTTTTATGAAAATATTCTCCGAGGTGATGATTTTTTCAATTCAAACCCTCGCTGTTTCACGTATCTGCGTTTGGTTTATCAGAATTCAAACATAGCTCTTGGAGATTTCTCTGCGCTCCACAATTACCAACCGTCCATTACCTTCCTCGGTTCACTTCACCGAGGCACTGCGCAATCTAACACTCATTTTTACATTGACACCGTTCAGTCTGTCCTGCTACGGTCACTGTCGCTTAGTGAACGTGCTCCAGACTTATCAACGAAACCTTGAAACCAGTCGATCCACTTAGATACTGCGGTTGTGAGACCAAATATCATGTAATAGCTTTTTCCTGACATGCACCAGTGACTATTGGAGCATCAGAATCAGGAAAAGGACAAAGGACAACATTGATCAAAAGAGACTCCGATGGAAAGACCATTTTCTGTGGTTTTCTGTGTCATTTAATCCATTTGTTCATTCGCCTATAGCTAGAGTATAGTGTGCAGTTCTGCAATTCACATTACAGCAGGGATGTGATAACACTGGAAACGATGCGGAAGAGATTTACCAGGATATGGTCTGGGATGAAGAGTTTCAGTTATGAAGAGAGATTGGAAAGTCTGGATTTGTTTTCCTTAGAGCAGAGGAGATTTACAGAAGGCAAGATTGAGACGTACAAACCAACTGGCCTGTTGTGTTCATCCAGCTCTGCACCTTGTTGTCCGGGATATTGATAGAGTAGACTGAAAGAAACGTTTCCTCTTGATGGCGAGATCGATGAAAGGAGGGGAATAGGTTTAAAGTAAGATGTCGGAAGGTTTGAGTAGATGGGCGGAAAATCTTTTTCAGCCAGTAGGTGTTTGGAATCTGGAAGCCAGTGCCTATAAGTGTTCTAGAGGCAGACATCCGATTACCTGTAAGAAGTATTCAGACGTAAATTTGTGATGCTAAGGCATACAAGGCTATGTGCCAAGCAATAGGAAATAGAATTCGGATGGCAAAGCAGTTTTATTTTCCTGGTGCACGCGTAGTGGCCCCGAGGGCAGGGCTGGTCCCGTGCCGTCCTCGGTAGTATAGTGGTTAGTATCCCCGCCTGTCACGCGGGAGACCGGGGTTCAATTCCCCGCCGGGGAGGCTTTAAGCCTTTTTGATTCAACCTTGGGTGATGTCTGTGTGGAGTTTGTGCCTTCTCCCCGGTCTCCGTTGAGCTTCCTTCTCACAGGCGAAACATCTGCTGGTTTGGTGAATTGGCCGTCGGAAATTGCCCGTCTTGTGCAGTGATGTGCAGACCAGATAGTTCAGCCGTGGGAAATGCCGGTTTACGGAAAGCTCTTCTCGGATCTGAGGATGGGTCACTGGACCCGCAACGTTAACTCTGATGTTTTCTTCACAGATGCTGCCGGACCTGCTGAGCTCTTCCAGCAACTTTGTTTTTCTTCGAGAGTCGATGCCGCCTCACTGGGCCGAATGGCCTCTGTCTGTAAGGACGAGTTTCTATGATCTCTGACTCTATGCATTGTAGTCTCATTTTGGATTTTGAACTTGTCTGCACCAAAATGTGCGGCTCATTAACATCGGTTCAGAAGAGAGGTGGTCTCAATAAGACTTCTTGGAACAACACCGTGCACTGTGCTCGAGTGTGGAAATCAATTCCTCACAGACAATTTTGCATCCACACTGTCACGGGGCTTTTCATTCCGTAGCATGACCCACACTACGCCAACGTCATCATCATTTCTTTGTTAAAGAACACAGCTATTTACTTACATCTCTCAAAGAAGAGTGAAATTAGCGTCAGTGCATCTCACTCATCGGATACAAAATTGCAGCAAGAAACGACGGGTTCTCGCTGATGGGCGTTTTTGTCACTGATAATCTGTTTGTTGTGTTGTTTCATAAGGCTCGGTGCGAGGTCGCTTTGTATAGACTTTAGAGCAGGAAGAGGCCAGTCGGTCCTTGCAGCCTGCTCCACTATTCAATATGATCATCGGGTTCACCCAACTCAGTACCCTGTTTCACTTTTCACCGCAGGTTCTTTTGTCCCTTGAACCCGAAGAACTTTTTATAAAACTAATCAATGTTTTGGCTTCAACCGTTTTGTGTAACACAAAATTCTTCAGGCTCATTGCTTTCTGGTGACGATATTCCCTTCACCTCAGACCTAAATGGATTGCAGCTTATCCTCAAACTGTGATCTCTGGTTATGGACTCTCCAGTGATCGGGAACACATATCGAAATTCTCTGCGCTATACAATCTCATTCGCACTGCAAGAAAGGAAATTGCTGTTTCGCCTCTCACAACTGAATCGGTTTACCCAATATCTTGCTCAGCTCCCTGCTTCCAGTAAACACTTAAATCAGGAACAAATCTATCAAATGCTTTGCATTGCGATAAGGACTGTTTCTGCAAACTTGCAGAAGTCACGTCTTTGCCCTCTCACAATCTCCCCAGGAGCTGATACAAGTGGGGTGGACGGATTTGTTTTCGCCTGCACTCACTCATTTGGCGACAACTTTCTTACTGCTCAATGAGATAACTCTAATCCTTTTCGATCATTGGAACCACTTGTATGAATATGCACGCAGCAAATCGAATACTACGAAACAGATAAACAGCCCTTCGCGGAATTTATCACAACGCTGTGTCAGCGATATGGGATAGATCATCGAGCTAAAACATCATCCGCTGGTGTGGTGAATTGGCCGTGGGAAATTGCCCCTCTTGTGCAGTGATGTGCAGACCAGATTGTTCAGCGGTGGGAAATGCAGATTTTCAGAAAGCTCTTCGCGGTTCTCAGGATGGGTCACCGGACCCGCAATGTTAACTCTGATGTTTTCTTCACAGACGCTGCCGGACCTGTTGAGCTGTTCCAGAAACTTTGCTTTTCTTCGAGCACCAGTGCAGCTTCAATGGGCCGAATGGCCTCTTTCGATACGGTCGGGTTTCTATGATCTCTGATTCTCTGCATTGTAGTCTCATTTTGGATTTTGAAATTGACTGCACCAAAATGTACGGCTCATTAACATCGGTTCATGATCCACACACCAACTGTCACTATCATTTCTGTGTTAAAGAACACAGCTACTTACTTACATCTCTGTTTCAAATAGATTGATGCAGTCCAGCGTTATTGGTATTATGGAAAAATAAAATATATCATGTTGGCCTGCCCAGAAAATATTCACGTGGAACTTGCCAGGGTTGCAGGTTTCGGACTGTACGGCGAGGCTGAAAAGGCTGGGGCAGTTTTCCCTGGAGCGTCGGAGGCTGAGGGACGACCTGGCAGAAGTTTATAAAATCATCAGGGATATGGACAGGGTGAGTAGTCAAGGTCTTTATCACACGGTGGGCGAGTCCAAA